TAGTGGCATGTCTGTATTCCCAGCTATTCTGGAGACCAAGGCAGGAGGATCACATGAGCCCAGAAGTTGCAGGTTGCAGTGAGCAGTGACACCACTACACTCTGCCCCAGACAGTAAAGTGACATAGTGTCTCAAAAGCAAAACGAGAACAGGATAGTGTGAGGGCATATCAGACATGATGTTATCTGACATGATTTTGGTATCAGGCATGATGTTACCTGACATGATTTAGGGGCACTGAAGGATAATTCCCAAGATCACACCTATCACAAGGATGGGTAAGGATTTGTGTTATGAGGAGCAGGGAACCTGGGCCCAGGAAAAGAGGGCAGGGCACAGCTAATTATAAATATTTAGTGAGCAGAAGAGAAGAGTGAAGGGGAGCACATGGCTTTCTCCTATGAAGAAGGAGAGGCCAGATTCCATGCTCAGAGTATCCTCAGCACTGATCTGTGGGACCCTTAGCCTTCAGATCTCAGCCAGCCTTATTTTGTGTGTACAGTGGGGCTACACCAGTAAGAAAGGACACCAGGGCATCCATGTTGACTCCTTTGAATACCACTTACGTTTTAGGAAGCTGGAAAAAATCAGGAAACCATAAACTCTATGCTCAGGACTCCAGAGAACCGCACTCTAATCAAACGGATGCTGATTAAGTGTTCCGATGTGTCCAACCCCTGCCGCCCCCTGGAAAGCTGCATTGAGTGGGCCGCGCGCATTTCAGAAGAATATTTTTCTCAGGTAAGAGGCTGTCTCTAAAGTTTATAGAGAGAGATAGAAACCATATGATGTCATGGCTCATGCCTATATTCCCAGCACTTTGGGAGGATCACCTTATCCCAGGAGTTTGAAACCACCAAGATCCCATCACTATTGAAGTCTAAAAAAATTAGCTGAACATGATTGTATGCCCCTATAGTCCTAGCTGCTTGGGAGGCTGAGGTGGTAGGATTGCTTGAGTGCAAGAGGTCAAGGTTACAGTGAGCTGTGATTGTGCCTCTGTCTTCCAATCTGGGCAATAGTGTGAGACTATGTCTCAATGGATTTAAAACTAGAAAAATTGGATTCTAAAGCTCTATCTCTGAACATTTTTCATATTACATGTTTACTACTAGTAAGGAATTTTTTTCTGTGTCTGAGAATGTGTTTATTTTTCCTTCATTCTTGTAGGCTATAGAATCTTAGGATGACAACTTTCTCCTACAAGCGCCTTTTTTTTTTTTTTTTTTGAGACAGAGTCTCACTTTGTTGCCATGGCGTCACAGCTCACAGCAACCTCAAACTCCTGGGCTTAAGTAATTCTCTTGCCTCAGCCTCCCAGGTAGTTGGGACTACAGGTGCCCTTCCCAATGCTGGGCTATTTTTAGAGAAGGGGTCTTGCTCTGGCTCAAGCTGATCTCAAACCTGTGAGCTCAGGCAATCCACCCACCTCAGCCTCCCGGGATTACATGCCACCTTGCCTGGCCTAAAAGCCCTTTGAAGGTCATCTGCCTTCATATTCTGAGTAGGTAAACATTCTTTTAAGGCAGAAAAAAATTAGAAAATATTTTGGCTGAGGATTTTCCTGATTTAAGAGAAACAAACATACAGATTCAAGAAGCCCAGTGAGCCTAACTCAGGTCGCACATGTCATAGGCAAGCAGCTAACGAGCCAAAGAAAGAGAAAGATCTTGGAATCAGCCAGAGGAAAATGACAGGTCACTTCAAAGAAACCAATGATCTCGTGTCTTTTGACTTCCTGTCAGAAATAATGAAGGCCACAATGCACTTTAAAATGCTGTTGGGAGAGAACTATCAACCTAGAATTCTGTATCCAATGAAAAGGGCCTTTAAAAATCAAGACAGACACCTTCTCAGGGAAAAACTACTAGAATCCATCACCAATAAACATATAATACAAGAAATGCTAAAGGAAGTAATTAAGGCTGAAAGGAAACGGATCGGATGTGAAGTTGGATATTCAAAAAGGAATGAAAAATACCAAAAATGGTAAATACCTGGGTAATTACAAGGCATTTGTTCTCTGGATCTCTGTAAAAACATGGGACAATTGTAAGCAAAAGTTACAATGTTGCAATGCAGGGTATATGATGTATGACAGCTCTAACATCAAGGATAAGGGACAGAAAATGAGCCTGCATGGGGCCAAGGTGTCTACATTTCATGTGAAGTAGTACAATATTAGCTCAATAGACTCAAAAGTGAATGATATATATTGTAATCCCTAGGGCAATCACTGCTACTTAAAGCTAATAGAATTATTATTATAATGGAATTACAAAATATATTAAAATAATACAAAGGGCTTGGCACACATAGCTCAGTGGTTAGGGCACTGGCCACAAACACTGAGGCTGGTGGCTTCGAACCCAACCCAGGCCTGCTAAACAACAATGACAACTGCGACCAAAAAAAAATAGCCAGGTGTTGTGGCAGGTGCCTGTAGTTCCAGCTACTTGGGAAGCTGAGGCAAGAGACTCATTTAAGCACAAGAGTTTGAGGTTGCTGTGAGCTGTTGCACCATAGCACTCTACCAAGGGTGACATAGTGAGACTCTGTCTCAAAAATAAATAAATAAATAAATAAAATAATACAAAGAAGCAAGAAAGGAGAAATACAGGAACCAAAAAATAAGGGGACAAAACCACAAATAATAAAATTGTAGCTCTAACTACAGTACCTCCATTAAACGGTGGTGGACTAAATGCTCCAATTAAAAAAGCATTCCAGGAGGATAGTTTTTTTTTTAAAGATACCCCAAATACATGCAATCTACAAAAGGCATTTAAAATATAAAGAATAGATAGAGTCAAAGTAAATGGATAGAATGGATATCATGCAAATTGTAAGCAAAAAGACTTGGAAAGTCCATATTAAAATCCCACATATCTACATCACAATAGGATATTTCCTACCAGAGACAAAGTGGGGTACTTCATAGTAAGAAAACAGTTCTGTATGAAGACATAATAATCATAAATGTATGTGCACTAATATCAGAGCTTCACAATAAGTGAAGCAAAATCGACAGAATCAGAGAGAGACAGACATAGTTAGAAATTTTAGCACCCCCTTTTAGCAGCTAACAAAATAACCAAATTAAAGTGTCAGAGAAGACACAGACAACCCTAGTGACACTATCAGTGTCTTACATTTAGTTAATATTTATAGAACACTATGTAAAAAATACAGTCTTTAAGCACATATGATACCTTCACTAATATAAATCATATGCTAAGCTACTAAAAAGTTTTGATAAATTTAAAAGGATTGAAATCAAACAGAATGTTCTCTGACCACAGTGCAATTAAATCAGAAATCAATAAGATACCTACGAAAATACCAACATTTAGAAGTTGAACAACTTCTTTTTTTTTTTTTTTTTTTT